ATTCATTGTTAATGGCAGTAGAACTAAGCTACTTCTACCTCTCCTGCTGCTGAATGTAGGAGAATACTTTGTTAACTGGTGGAAGAGGATCCAACATCATGACCTAAGCTCTGGTGTTATCATAAACCTCATTCAAGCCCATCAAAAACTTTATCACATAGTCACGCTGGTATCTGTCTACCGGCACCTTCAATTGTCCACAATTACATTCTGGAAATGGATCATATATAGATAGCTCATCCTAAATTGTTTTAAGCTTTCCATAATAAATACTTACAGAATCATTTTCCTGTTCTAGATCAGCTAATGCGTTCTTCAGCTCGTATATTCTGGGACCATTTTGCTGGGAAAACCTGTCTTTAAGTTCTGACCATATTTCATTAGCTTCATCCATGAAAGTAACACTGGATCTGATTGAAGGAGATATAGCATTTTGAATCCATGACATTACCATGTCATTGCATCTCCCCCATGGATCGAAAGCATTACTGATATGTTCAGGTTTAGGTAGCGTTCCATTGATAAAACCGAGCTTGTTTTTGGCTCGAAGAGCTCGTTGGAGTGCCCTTGACTAGGTAGGATAGTTGTCTGTTGTTAATAATTCTGTGACCAAGATGGCTCCTGGGTTATCTGAAGTTTCCAATTTGTATTGCTCAGAAAATTCAGAGGCAGGAAGAGGAGCCATGTTTTCTCCATCAGCAGAATTCATATCAGCAATGGTTGTCATTGCTCTGATACCATGAAAGAATTTAAAATGGAAATGATGATGAAGAACACTGATAAATGGATTGAATCAGTGAATCATTTCATATCTAAAATCTAAATACAAGAGGTGAATATATAAGCTATACAAGGGGGTAAAAAAGTAAAGGATGACTCTAACAAACTATATAACAAGAAAGGAATATTGTTCTACCTAACCATGTGCAATCTATACAGCTGGCTCGACATCTAGAGCTAATAAGTGCCCTGCCTTATGATGTTTGTACATATCGGGTTGATAATCTACTCCATTGCTCACCGTAATGTTGATAGGTGGATTGCTAATAAGTGTGATCTATTCTCTCTATTTTAACAATAGTCACTCAATTTTAACTATCAATTGTGTGCTATTCATTTTAAGCTCGAATTATTGAACTTAAGTTAAAATATAAATTTCCGTAAGAATGATTCTCTTTCTCACTTTTACTATTACTTGTCAACGACCCTGCACGTTTGTGAATATCAACTGAACAAGTTTTTGACATAGTTTCGGGAGATTTTAGATATGTAATTTGACTTCTATTTGTTCGTATAATGATTCTCTTTCTCACTTTTACTATTACTTGTCAACGACCCTGCACGTTTGTGAATATCAACTGAACTAGTTTTTTACATAGTTTCGGGAGATTTTAGATACGTAATTTGACTTCTATTTGTTCGTGATTAAATTGGAATGTTTTTTCTTTTTTACTTTTACTCTCGTCTTGTGATAACTTTGTTCATTTTTATCTTTCCATGTGCTTGCATTTTATATATGCAAAATTGGGAAGATCTCGACCTCCTACAATTTGATCTCGAGGTTGAGAGAACTTTTAACAAAAAGAAACAATGGAGAAGAGCCAGAAGATATAATGGCACGAGATCACGTTTAAGTCCTTCCACTAAATGTAGAGTATGAGGAAGATGTGCTCGTTGGGGAGTTTTATGATCCCACCTATGGTACAAAGCAGTGTTATTAAAATTGACCCGGTCGGCCTGATAAACCGGTAGCCCGGACCCTATTCTGGGACGGGAAAGCTCATATTATATAAATGAAAGTGGCCCGATCAAAAATTGGATTTGACCGGGTCAATTAGCCGATTTTATTTAATTATTGGGCCGATTCGACCCGATTGATTTTTTAATCAAATTTCAAAACTTTTCTCCATTGAAATTTTAGGGGACTAAAGATTTGAACACTTGACCTCTAGTTAACTAGATTATAACATTACCATCAAAGCGAGCAATACTTTGTTGTCCTTTTGTGTAATAAATCATATCTAACCTATGAACAATTTGTTGTTTTCTAAAAATATTTTTAATAAAATTAGTCCAATATTTTCATTCATTTTTTAATATCAATAATTATTTTATATACTTATTTTGTTTGAAAATTTTAATTTTAATTAAAATAAATTGAATAGATAATACACGTAAATTATTGGTCAATAACTAATAAATGATTTGTACATCACAAAAAGGGAAAATATAATATACAAAATTATAAAATCAAAATGTAAACATTATCACTCATAAATGAGTTCAAAAAATCTTTAATTCAAAGGTATAAATGAATTTTTGTAATGACCCACCGGTCCAACCACCGGTTCACTGATCCAACCAATAACCCGATGACCCAGTACCTTGACCGAGTCAATGTCCCGGTCGGATCTAATAACTATGGTACAAAGTCAGTCGACGAGATGTGATGAATCTATTGAAGAATCATAAGCAGTTTTATATGAAGTCCAATGAAAATCCACACAAGCATGTCTTTTATTTCCACATGGGCTTGAAGATAGAGCAATAGAATGTTTAAACTCCCAACAGTGGGCAATATCACTTCATGGTCATTTGGTTCAAAAAATTATCAAGTACTTCCAGTCAGCTAAAGTTGGCAAACTAAAATATGACATGTCCTTGGGTTAATTGATTCAGAAAGTTTTCACAAAGCTTGGGAGAGTTTTAAGGATCTATTGCAAAGTTTCTCAAATAATGACATCAACAAGGGACTCTAGGTCCAATACTTCTTCTATACAGGGGTTACTTCATCATCGAATAGGTCAATTAAAATGAAGACAGTTCGGGAAGCATATGCCTTGTTTCAACATTATATGCTGAAATGGAACCTCTAATGTACAAAATGGACAACCTTACTCAGATTGTATACATGGTACACAATCTTGTTCCAGTTTGTAAAGGTTGTTGAGGCATCTCACAAAAATTCAAATTGTCCATTAGTCGCCACTTTCACATTCTAAAGAGGCTACTTACGCACAGAACTTCCAGTGCCAATAGAATAATCCCTACTCCAGGACCTATAGTTCGGGTTGAAATCATCCCAGTTTCTCTTGTAAAAATAATCCACATCTAAGAAACCAAAATCAAAGAAAATCATCCCCAGGGTTCCAGCAACAACAGGAGAAAAAGCCTTTGTTGGAAAATCTAATTGCTAGTGCATCACAAAGACTGAAAATACTTTGCAACATCAACATGCTTCTTTAAAGAATCTAAAGACTCAAGTGAGGCAGATAGCGGCAATATTATTCAAGAAGACGCAGGGCACTCTATCGATTAGCATTGAAACAGACCCACGAGAGTAGGTGTTGGCTATTAAAATCCTAGAGAATGATATTGTTGACAACCCACCACCTAGGGTATTTGTTCTAGCATACCTCTAGTTCCATTTCCTTAACAATTTCAAAAATGGTTGGAGGAGGGAAGGATTCATTCGATCACTACTAGAAGTGGAGTTCAATTACCAAATATGAAACAGCCCATACGTGTAATTAACCCTTTAATTTGTAAATGTTATACGTTTCCAACAAAAAAATAGAAAAGTTTTGGCCATAAAAGGTTTTAGGCCCTAGGCAACCACCCTCCCTGAGCCTTGCCTCATGTCTGTTGCCATGCCATGGTTGAAGTCGTGCTATATTCTCGGTGTTTAGAGCGAATTTGAGACTCAAGGCAGCATGTTGGTTTTTATGAGCAAGTGATTTGAGGCACGGATGCCTAATTTACTTGATGGAGGCATCACGGGACAAAATTTTGGGATGCTAGTCAAATTGACATTGATCGATGGGTTGATGCAGGTTGTGTACGGCAGCATTGCAAACTTACTGTCCAGTTGATTTCAATACTCAAGTTCAGTGAAAATTAGGCCATATGGGAGGCATATGACGGAGTTGCGGGCGGTTCTTGCTTTGAGCTTGATACAGGGGGTGGTTTTGGCTGTAAAAGTGCCAAAATTTTGGGCAGAACTACCCAACAGTTGGGGGTGTCAACTACTACTTGAAAATTGTATTATTATTCTAAGTGTCGGTGCCTTGGAATGATTTAGAAGAGTGAACGCTGTGATGAGACAACAATGGTTGTGTTGAATGTTCCTGTAAATCTTTGTTTTCTTTACTGTTTCTAGTACGTCAATCTTTTGCATTTTTATTTAGTTGAATTTGTGTCTTTTCATTACCCGAAAGTGTAAATTCATGTATTGGTTGGTTGGGGACGGAAAATCTCGACGCCATCACAAATTGTGGGAAAAAGCCCCATGACATTATGTAGGGTAATTCTTAGAGGGAGTGGAGTGAAGATCTAGAATTTTCGTTTCCTTTTTATTTATTTTTATTAAATTACAAAATTGTTCTCCTACCCGACTGCCACTTGCTGATGTGGTAGACAATCTTACTTACAAATATCTCTAAATGTTCTCTCCATCGGCAGGAGAACATTATTTCTGTATTAAATTAATGTGTAATTATCAATTTTCTTGTATGCGATCCATTTAAAAGTCATTTTATGTCCCAAAGAAAATAGTCAGGCTCAGGGACAGGGCGCCTATGTGGGATAAAGGTCCCACATAAGACGCGTCACCATCCTGAATCCTTGACCCAACATTAAATTCATTTTTTATTATTTATAATTATTATTCAACATACTTTTTATCTCCTAATCCAATCATCACGCCACCTCATCTAGACTTTTGGATAAGCCTGCCTGTCCTTTTTGTCAACGTATGATTGTTACGATTCATTCCCCTATTTTATTACGCAAGTACCCCTATTTTACCATGGCATATGCAAAGAGCATTGTTTCACAATAGGTGGTCATTTTCGTCAATGACGAGACTACTTTAAAACCACCAATGATATGATCACCCATTCATTCTCATCTCTACCCTCTGTGCAATATATTATAAACAGAGAATCAAGAATATATTTTACCCTCCTATCAATCATTTCCCAATACATCAGGTAGGAAAAATGTTGGCTGTTTTTGACAAGAAGGTGGCAAAGAGCCCTCAAGAATTGCAGAGCCCACAAAATGAATCCGTATATGCACTCAAAGATGGATTTTTGGGAACCCATTTTTCATCCCTGCACCCTTCTTCTTCATCTGTTGTACTCAATCTTGCTTCTTCTGGCCTCATGGCTTATTCTTCTGATAGGCAAAATCCGCTTCTTCCAAGGTTCGTTTTGTTTTATGATTTAGTTTCGATGTGATCTTGATTCTGACGCGACTTTGACGGTCTGTGTTTTATTTGCATTTTCTTGATGGGAGTGTTTTTGGTTAGTTATCACAGATCTTTATATGTTTTTTTCTGGTTTTATCTACTTATTTATTGTTTAAGCATTATGATCTTTCGTTGCTTGTAAATTTTACGAACAGAACGGAACGAAGTGGCAATAAAGGGTTCGTCCAAATGTTACCTTAAACGAACTTGTTTGCTCTGTGAAAATCCATTTAACTGATTGATCTAATTTTGTAAATATTTGATTATCTTTGAGCATTGGTTTGAATCGAAGGATCATCTATTCAAGTATCCAATCGACTTTTTTAACTAAATAAGAAGAGTTTGTAGTTGTGATCTGTTTTTATTTTGTTGTGCCTTCAGTTTTTAGAATATGTTAGAAGAGAGTAGGGAAGGGTCCAAAACTAACACTGCGCCTTTTGGATGCGATTTGAATCTAACAACGGAGTGGCAAAAAAGGAGACTCCAAATTTATTGGGAATTGTTTCTACTATATTTTTTTGGTATTGTTTGAGTTCTGTGATGATTATCAAAGGCTGATTCTTTCTGGCGGTATCTTTTCCCAGTTGGATTTGAGTGAGATTCACATTAATTTCTATCGAAAAAAGATGAGAAAACAAAGTAAAGGAACGAAGAGAAGAGAGAATGTGATGATTGTAGGAGGAAAGGAGGGACTAGGAATCTTACCATAAATAAAGAACTAAGAAATTAGAGGAACTTAATAAAAGGAAAGAGCAAAGATGAACAAATGTGTATATATGTGACGGAAAAAGGAGAGTCAAACATAGAATATTGCTACCTAACAACAGTGGTGTGCTAGAGCACCAGTCTGTGTCACTATTTGATAGATTCAATTAAAGGTAACATTACTCCAAACATAACATGCATTCTACGACGAGTTAATTTCTTATGCTCTCGTTTCTTTTCTTGAAAGCAACTGTGAAGGGAAAATATCATCTACATTTTTGTTTTGAGTAATGATATTCATACCCATTGAGGTTGAACCCCAGTTTATGTCACAATTATATGACATTAAATGAAATATTCATTTAAATACAAAGTCACATAACTCATTTAATTGAGTCTATCATTTAGCCCTGTTTGGCTCCCATTATTTTACATTTTTTGAGGTTGAAAATTTTTAGAATAGTGATTGATAGGAGATTGTGTGGTTGAAATTTTTTTGATTTGTGTGTAATACTATTTTATTTGATGAATGTGTGGTTGAAATGAAGAGTTAGAAAAATTTAATATAATGTAATTTAATGGTGGCCAAACAAGGGCTAATGTCATGTAATTGTCACATAGACCGGTGCTCAACCCCAGTGGGGATGAATATCATTATTCTTTTGTTTTATTGATACTTCTCTAGTTTCCATGTTTGTGTCTTGTGGGGATGTTCCATTATTTTATTTTATTTTATTTTTTGACTTGTCAAGTTGTCCTGATCTAATATATTTCTTACTGTTTCCAGATTGTTTGCAGTTGTAGATGACATATTCTGTTTGTTCGAAGGCCACATTGAGAATGTTGCACATCTCAAACAGCAATACGGGTTGAACAAGACTGCAAATGAAGTGATCATTGTTATTGAGGCTTACAGGACCTTAAGGGATAGAGGCCCTTACCCTGCTAATCAAGTGGTCAGAGATATTGAAGGAAAATTTATATTCATTATCTACGACAACTCTTCAAAAACCACGTTTGTAGCTACCGTGAGTGATTTTTTAATTCCTTTACATGTCAAGTTTTTATTCCGTTTAGAACCCGGATCTTGTTCTGATCCGGTTTTATAATTTTGAGCCAATCTTTACTCAGATATATCTGGTACAGGATGCCGATGGGAGTGTACCCTTCTTCTGGGGAACTGATTCTGAAGGTCACCTTGTTCTCTCGAATGACTTGGAAGCTGTGAAGAAAGGCTGCGGCAAATCTTTTGCTCCATTTCCCAAAGGTACTACTTTCTTAAATCTATCAAATGAAGAATACATCTACAATGGCATGAATAGCTAATTGTATTTCTCTTTATTCGATTGGATATTCCAAAATTTACTCAATTTCCTCCAGGATGCTTTTTCACCTCTTCCGGAGGTCTTCGTAGTTATGAGCATCCCGTGAGTGAGTTGAAAGCAGTGCCAAGAGTGGACAGTTCGGGTGAGCTATGTGGGGCAACCTTTAAGGTAGACACAGAGTCTCGTAAAGAAAAGACTAGCATGCCTAGAGTTGGAAGTGATGCAAACTGGTCTCAACACTACTGAATGTTTCCCTTGTGGCAATGCTTTTCTCACGATTTATGTGTTGCAACATTTTTTCTTATTGTACCTATTATAAATTAATGTTTTTTTACTCTTGTATTTCAACCTTACACTCATGAATTGATGCCATTAGATTCGCCTAAAACATACATAAATTGTAGCACTCTCAGCTTATGTTGTAACACGTAAACATGCGAACTCTCTTTTACTGTTTTTCTCCTAAACGCATTTTACGACTTTTGTGGGGTTTGACTAATGAAGAAGTTTACATTCAGATAACTGTGGTTGCACATATTTATATTGAACTAAACGTTAGTCATGTACATGCCAGCCATTGTTTTACTAATACATACTTGAAGCTGCTTTGGACATAGAATCAAAGACAAAAAATTTAATGTTCATTAAGAAAAAGCATCTAGTCTAGTATGCAGCACTATGTACTACTCTTCTATGTATGGCACAGAACTTTACGTCAATGAAAACCCGAGACGAAACATTACTTGGTATTAACTGCAGAAAGAAACTATAGCTGATTCAATCCTTTGCATCTGCAATTCCACCTGGAGTTATTTGGAAAACTTGCTTCTGTCAAGAAAAAACTAACAACGAATTTATGGCAGTACAAATTTCACTGGATTAAAGGAGGTGGTTTTGTGAAATCAGGAAGTTGTACTTTGTTCAGAAAATAGAGCGGATTTTAATTGACTATTGTATTTATTGGTATAATATGTGAACGATATTTAACTAAACAGAACAGTTGAGTTTCAATATAAAATGGGAAAGGATATTGCTTCAGCCTCGGGAAGATTTGGAGCATCAAACACCTTGCAGACACGCTGTTCGCCTTTGCCCTTCCTGAACATAAGCCTTATTGTGGCTGCATGAGCAAGTACATGCCCTCCTGCTGGCTTCTTTGGATCTGATATGAAGACCCCTCCTCCTGGATCAGCTATAACTGCAATCACCGGTTCATTTACACAAATTAACAATCCAGAAGAATTCTCCATCTGGGAATCGTCTTGGTAAAATAAATCTCAAATATAATCTTCTTGTTACTCTTAGATGAAAAGATAATGAGTAAGAGCAGTATTCTGAGACTAGGTAGCCTACCCTGGTTGGTCATGTATACAGCAACATTAAATTCTTCAGCAATCTTTATCAGTCTAGAGAGCATTTGAGCCAACTTTTGCTGGAAATGGTTAACAGATTTGTGTCACTTGAAAATGTCTTATAAGAAGATTATAAAACAATCTTAATTTATTAGTATCGTCTAACCTGACGATCTGCAAGTTCTCCTCTTCCAGTAAAGTCTACTCGAAAGAGAGCAATCACTGAATCAACAATCTGAAAAGTACAACTATAGTAAATCGGTCTACTATCCAGATAGTTGATTTACGATTAGGACGACGCAGCTGTAAATTAGCTTACCAAAAGTCTGAAGGGCTCTTCAGCCATTTTTGCTGCTAGACCAAGAAGCAGGTTGTACTGATGCTCATATGTGTATGCACGAGCATATATGATCTTTCATATGTACAAAATAATCAGATAGCGCTTAGCAATTAAAACTAAATTTATGCGAGTCAACAAAAATAGATTTTACATTGTCAAGTACAGCTCCTGGATCCATTCCAAATCTTTCAGCTATAGGTACTATGCGATCAGGTCGGCTATAAGTGCATTCGATTAAGAGTAGAACAAATGAAAAGAGGCATTACTGAAATTATGAGCTACCTTGAACTGCATAGTTGAAAGGAGGAAAAAATATACAGTTAAGGATACAAAGTTCCCTCAGTGTCAATATAAGCAACCTTCCCGTTGCCTCCTCTCATATTAGTAGGAAGCTGCAATGTGAGTAACGAATCCGTCCAAAGTTAAATTCAATTTTATGAATTAGAATAGTGATCTTTACAGATCTGAATCAACTAATAACTAACTAGTTAACACGTAGAGATCAGATTCCGACTGCCATCTTCTTGACAAATCAATTAATTAATGCAGTAAATTTCATATTATATTAAAAGAACATACATCAGTTATTACATTACTTGCCATCTTCTTGAGAAAATCGAAAAATAAACTTCACTTATTACATTACTTGCCTGTGTGGAGACACAAAGAGTATGAGCCAGTTGTGTTTTTCCAGATCTGAGCGAAATGATTGATTAAGGGCATACAGTTAGTAGTGAAATATTGTCCGATGCTACCATTTTGAGATGTTTCTGATTAAGTAATTGAAAAAGCAGTCAAATTATCACCTGAATTCCCCAAAAGCTTCTGTAATACTCATAGTTTCGATCCCCCCTTCACAAATCCAAACACAGAAGCTCAACCACAAGTGAATAATTTCATTTAATCAGTGAAGATTTATATAAATGAAAATCAAGCTTGGGCGTTCAAAAGTTACCCCCTAGCAGTTCATCCAGTGCTTGGCTTCCTGTTGTTATGCGAATTACAGCTTTTCTCTGTATAGCCAACAGTAGTTAATATCAGCACCTCAACAAGACACCAACGAGACTATGCAAATTAAAATTTAAAATTTTCCATTAGAATCTAATGAACTGATATCTTACTCTGAGCAGAGCATCACTTCCAGTGATATATCCAAAATTCTAAAAGTTTCAAAGTAGAGATAGAGAGAGCATCAGAATATACTGAACAGCTGCATTTATATATATCTAACTATTATCGAATTATAGCACTAACCACTATTTTCTCCACAGCTTCACATATCTTATCAACTTTTGCCTCTGACAATCCTTTGATTCCAGTCAAGCTCTAGAAAAATTACACATGATACGGTTAAATGCATTGGAAATTGGAATATTCAGATAATTGCAGTATCAAGTCCCTTTTCCTCACCTTCTTAGTATGCATCATCAAGCCATTGCAGGTGTAGATCCCAGCATCCTGCAGTTTCTTTACATCTCCAGCATTGATTCCATGAGTTGTCACTGCAAAATATATGATGAAACAGAAGTATATAGCAAATACTAACCAGAAACCATTCGCTATAAAAATTCAGACAAATGTACCGAACTTCACAATTTGTCTCCAAAACTCAGCAAAATATTTTGTACTTACATGTATCGTGGAGAATTTAATTTTTAATTCAAATGCACAGTCTAAAAATTAAAATCATCGAGAAATTACATGGAAAAATAGATATTATCAGTGTAGACATGAAGAGGAAGTGAAATGAAGTAGAACAAAAGATCCTAGAATGTGAAAATGTGGTAGAAACAAATGATCGAAAAATCTAACAAACAGATCCTAAAATAATTGGAAATTTCATAACGAAAATGAAATTTAACATACAAACATAAACTAGATAAATTAAGTTTTCAGAGCAGAATAAAAAAGACCGCCAGCGAACGAAATTTTAATAAACAGAAAATGAATTTACAGTGAACATTCAATTACAAATTAGCAACCAAATGAGAAAAGTGAGCACATATTAGCAGAAATAGGAAAAACGAGCAGAATTTTTCAGTTCATGTTTAAATAGTTCACGTTTATCGATTGCTTCGAACAAATATTCTTCATCATCGATCTCTTCTCTTTCGACGAGCTGTAGCTGGCTCTGCTCTTCACTTCTGTTGCTTAAATTCGCACAAAAAAAGTAGAAATTTATTAGCTCGCACTAGAATTAGCTTTAATCATTCAATTACAAACTTTAAAGTAAAATGTGAATGGAAATTTACTTGAATGCTAGCATCTTGTGTTATAAACTGGACTTTGAAAAAGAGTTCTTAAGAGAATTTTTTTGGCGATAGAAATGGAACTGAACTGAAATAAACTTTTGATTTCAAATACCGAGTTCGGATATTTATACACGACGGAACTGAGAGTTTATTTAATTCAAGATTTTTAACATGTGGGGTACGTTCATGTGTGGCCGATTGGTATTGCGGAATTTACACTAATGCATAACGTGGCATGACTACATTGGATGGCTCTAATTTATGGTACTATCCTAAAATTCTACGGCCTTTAAATTTCATGAAATCTTTATTTGATTTTGATTTTTGGAGAAGTGATTTTTTTAAAAAGTTTTTTTTTAAAAAAATTAAAAATGCAAGATTAAAAGTAGAAAAAAATTATGCATATGTGTATAAAATTATTTTATTGAGACAATGTGTTTAAAAATAAGTTTAAGAAAATAATGATTTTAAAAAAATCAAAATGAAACAAATGCAAAGATTTACTACAAAATTACGATCACTTGATTTATGTTTCAATTTTAATTGCACAACTTCTTGTGCTAAATGGCATTTTACTATTTTGACCAAAATAACATAAAGCGGTGAAGGATTAAAATCATATTTTTAATAAATGTTGATAAAAGTAAATAAAATATATGGTTAAAAAGTAGTTGATCAAATGTAATGTAAAATTAAAAGTAATTATGAACTTTGATTTAGATTAAAGTTTTAATTTTAATTTATGCCAAGTAGGAGAATTATAAATATTGTTGAGTTTAATGTGAAATCATTGCACTTATTATTATTATTATTATTATTATTATTATTATCCTCTTTTACCTCAAAAAAGAAGATGTCAACATTACTATTCACTTCGAAGCATAGCGTTCACACTAATGGGTTTCATACTGTAGTTGAACTTGTTTTATGCTATTCATTCAAAAGAGGCTTAATTATTTTTATTGTCCATGCAGAAAAATGAAATTAATGTGGCTGCTTTATTGCTTCCCATTGTTGACTTAGACAAATCATTTACTGTAGCCGCCCCTTAAAAAAATTATCATCTCACTTTCATTCAATGACATAGCTTCCAAACATGAAAGGAAACTCCCAAAACTGGTTCTCTACTACTACTTTATTGGTAACGTTATGAACTTCACTTTCTCCAAATCTCTTTCCAACAAAGCAAAAAACACTAATCTCCCTCTCTCGATGAAAGCCCTAAAAAGTTCATGAATCATCCTTTACCTTAAAAGAGAGGATGCCAACATTACTATTTACCATGAAGCAGAGCGTTCACAC